ACTCCACCCCCTGTTAACAATAAGTGTTAATTAGGTGTCAACGATAGCCATGTGATGTGAGTATCAGTCACATGGAGGCAGGACTTAAAAGCCTGAATTTTGCCTGAAACTCTCAGATTGAAGAAGTCTCTTGGAGGAGAGACGAAACGTTTCATTAGAGAAGAACCCGTCCAGAAGACCTATACAATTTTTTTCTTTTTGATACATTTTACTGTATATAGATAAAATACTCTGAAACACAAAACATGGGAGAAAATCCAGCCATCATTTGTCAGTTGAAAGACTTCTTTTTGCAGGATTGTTTAAATTTTCTTAAGAGAAGAAAATTCTGTAAGCTTGATTCATTCTGGATTCATTAGCACAACTAATGGTTTAACAGGGAACTGCATCCACCATCATCACTCCCAGGTAAAAGACAGATGAGTGACAGGACAGGGGCACTTCAGCGGGCCAATCAGATTTCAGCTGGGGCCTGTGGCCCCGCCCCTGAGTATTTTCCACCTTTACATCACAATTTGACACGTGTTTGTTTCAATTAAAGACACAAATGTTTTATAACGTACATTTTTTGTTAAATAAAAGCTCCAGTGTATTTTGCTCAGATCGCTTATATGCTTGAACTTGCTGAACATCCAACTTGTGAGTCACATTGTTTATGTAAAGAATGGGACCTTTTATTTTGATGACGACTACAATGATAACAGTGTTTGTGTGTGTAAGAAAGAGGCTGAGATAGCTAGGCAAATAGAGAAATGTGTGTGGGTTAAAGTTGATAAGAAGGTATGTTCCTTTAGGCTTCAGGTTGGATAAGTTTCCTTTGTTTACATGTGACCCTAGACAAAGCCCTGGCAACACCTTGCATAGAAGTCCAGCTCTTCCACTACTCTGGACAAACTCACTAAAACTCTCAGAAAGTCGTTATCTACAACTTGTTCACTTTTACGGTCAATTCAATTTAAGATGGCTGCCCCAGCTAACCAACAGCCTTTCTATCCAACCAGGACTTCACATTACAATGTGCCCTCATTTAACCATTCACAAAGCACGGTCTCTACAAAGCTAATCCAGACAGATCAAGACTAATCAGTGCTTTAAATCACTCCTACACTGATGGGACACACATCAGACAATGGGGGTTCAGTGCCTTGCCCAGAGACACTTCAACATCTGACTGAAAAGCGGGGGAATGGAACCGAATCAAGAAATATTCCTCAATCAAAAGCTGCTGCTCCTCACATTGATTTTCCATCATTACCTCATAAAGACAGAAAAAAGAAGACACAACAATAAACCAAGATGAGCTTTATTCTCATGTTATAACAAGGTCATAAGTTATCTTGTTTAGGTTCATGATGGCAGATGAAGCACATTTACTCTACATTATTATTTTTTAGGATGTACGAAGGCTGGTTCTTCATTCCTCAAAGCCAAACATATTGGTGCCGTTCAAGCGGGTTTCTGTGTCCGTTACTAAAGTGAATAACCCAAATAAGGGTTACCGTCATGACAGCGAAGTAACACTCAATGACATACAAAATGAGGGTTAAGGCTAGGATTTTAGTTTGAGGTTAAGCAGATGAAATGTGATAAAATCCCTGATATCTGGAAATGGCTGCGAGAAGGTTCTCCAGAGTGCAAAGCATGCCGAGCTGCCTAAATAAACTGTTGAGCACACTGAACAAGGGACGTCACTGTTGCATCACTCAAAATGATTGAGGCTGCGTCATTGTTGGAAGATGTGCAAATATTTCCAATGAAGAAACCAAAGAACGCAGGTCTGGATTAAATGTAATATAATCTAAAAGATAAACATCAAAGTTAATGCTAAAGTTTCTAAAATCCATCACGCTAAACTAAGTATAATTTTAGATAATTGAATTTAATAATGCCTCTGTTAGAATTTTGTTCCCCTTATGTGATTTTCCCCTTTATATTGGCAGCATCAGCACAGCGAGACACCGTTTCACAAAGAACCTCTAACATTTTCCTGTAGTCACAACAAAATATTATATATGACATTAGGAAATTTTACAATCATATTCAATGTTTGTTACACAAATGGAAGAGGTGGGGAGAATAAAAGCCTAAAACTAAAGTTTTCAAAAATACACAGTCACAGATGAAACCGACAAAAAAATGTTTTACTGTCAAGTGTTAATTCCAAAATAAAATTAGTTTGCAGACCCACCAAGGAACATGAACATAACAAATTCACTTGTTCTGTAAAGCAAATTAAATGGCCACGGCAAGCTTTTGAAACCTAAATAACCCCGTGCTCATGACGAGCTTTTGCAAAATGTCCGTTCTGTTCAAGTTCTGGTTTTCAGTACAAGAGATGACACCTGAAGACAAAAGCCATTTCACTACAGGATGATGACAGCGTGTAAATCTCACAATGACTTTTAAAAGATTTTGTTTAAATGCTTGAGTTCAGTAAAAATAACGAAAAGACCTAAAGATAAAAAAAGGAACAGTACTTTTACACAGCATGTACTCAACACCTCGTCTCTTCAGAAAACTGTTATTTTTCGATGAACAGAAATAAAACTATTTTGAGAGCAGACGATGCACGGCATGGTTGTTTTTCTCACTGTGGATTGTTAATGTGGTTGGGTACCTGAGAAACTGTACTGAGATGGCAAGCAGCTACACTTGATGCCAAAGAGTAGCTGTGTTTATAGCTACACAACACAAATAAATGACAGTAGTATTTTGTGTACACGAGTGATCATTATTAATAAAGGCCAATGACAGTATGTGTGGGGAGGAAAAAAAAAACACGGGAAATGAACATTCACCAAATGGAGTCTGAGCCCACCGGCTCTAAACAGCAGCTCTCCAGTGTCCTCCAAACTGTCATAATACTGCTTGAATTTCATTTACAGTGGATAATAAAGACCTGTCCTTTAAAAAAAAAAGCATTTCACATTGTTTCGGGGTAGAGACAGTTAGTGCCAACAGATATTCTGCTGGTGATGGCACTGTGTCGTTTTGTTTTCATCAGGGAACATTCTGACAATTGCACACAAACTAAAAACAAAACACAGAAAGGCCACTAAATACATGGAAGTACAGTAATAAAACATCCAGTGGGGCACAGATAGTACCTCTGAAAATGAACGGAGATCATGTCCTCTTAAACCAAATGTTTAGCATTTTTGCAACAAAATATCATGACTCATTGAAAATGAAAAAGAATTAAGTGTACGAATAGCAACAATGACAATGACAGCAAAAGCAGGGATAATGGTTTACAGTCCGATGTGGCATCAGGGACTGTAAAGAAATTCCAGTATTCCATATGGGAGTGTGTAAAGAAGTCCATCAGGTCCTCCTCTGTAGATCCATACAAGTCATGAAGGACAGCACATGGTAGCAGCTCAGCACACGGAAAGCCAAGCAGCACTGTACCTCATTGTATCAACTCCTTTCCATAATGTGGGTTGTTGTTTTTGTTTGTTTTCTCTTCAGTCGCTCATTTGCCTCAAGTTACAAATCCTTTGTGGTTCTTTTGTTCTCATTTGTATTTTAATTTCCCCGCTGCTCTCACATTGCATACTTCTGTGTCCATTCTCTTGCTAACTTGTTGTACCTGCGAAAACATGCACATGTGTTTCAAGCTGAACACTGCTAACATTAGCCAACATTAGCATGGCAGCAGGCTCTGTTGAATAACGTCGTAAACATATGGATTTGTGGTTTGCACTCACTTTTCTCTGTCAGCTTTGTACGTATGGGCAATCTCTGGGACCAGAGGGTCATCGGGATTTGGATCACAAAGAAGAGAGCAGATAGACAATAATACTGTGAAGAAATACAGCACAACATTAGCAGATAAATTTATAGATAACAGAAGACAGTTTAACACTTGGGAAACTCTGTGACCTATCTGGATTAACATGTCACTGGCCACACTTCAGTTTTAACTTTCACATTCTACCTTTTTCATGTGAATTAGCTCAGATGAACAGAAACATCACTTCGTATGATAATCACTGCAATATGTCTTTTATATTCACGTTTGTTCAGTCTTTTTTTACTAGCAGAGAAAGTCTGAAACAATCTTGAAACAATAATGTAACTTTAAAAATACAGATTTGTATGAAATATGCTGCAGCAATATTTCAGAAACATTTAGCCATTAGCATGAAATACTGTTTGAGCACGTAATTTAACTTCTCCAGATATTAGGACATATTTATTCAGACAGTACAAACACATAGGGAAGCTGCCACACGAGCTGGAATAACCACGCAGAAGTGAGTAATAATACAATGTAATACACTCCCTCTCTCAGGAGCAGTGCAGCCTGACAGCAGAAAGGTGTGAAGATGTATTATTGGACAGGGTGATGTAGAGCACTGGCCAACACTCAGCTGCCACCAGTGTGAGAGGTTATAATAGAAAGTAACTCATCATACAGTGAGTGTGTGTTTTGTCCTTCAACTCAGTCTCTCCTGTAATACTCATTAAGAATAGAGAGGTCATTTTTAAAACTCTTTATCTGTGCTGAAGAACGTGGTATTTAATATATAACTATTCTAATGCACACACACACACACACACAAAAAAAAAACATTTGCTCCCAGTACATAGACTGGACTAAAGGTGCAGATTGTAAGAAATTCAAACTCAAAACAACTGTTTTGTTAGAATTTTTTTAAAACTTTAAAGTTCAACAAAAAAGCAAACACTCAATAAAATTAATTTGCAAAAAAAACTATTGTTAGTTCATTTATTTGATTTGATTTGATTACATTGAGCTGTGATGGTCAGAATCACAGTGTGATTTCAAATAATCATTGAAATCTCAGATGAAATCTTACCTTTTGACACTGTAAGCGCAGGTGACCACTGTGACCTCAGTATGTCCAGACAAATACTTCCATTGCTGTTGATATTTGGGTGGTAAATTTTTGTTGTGAATGCAACCTGGGTCAAAATGTAAAACAACAAAAATTACAAAACAGTCCAGTATACCCAGTTGGAACTGCTACAAGTAAATCAAGCTAAACACGAAGATTATGCAGAAGAGACACATGGAATAGACTCATACTCACTTTTGGTGGTTTGAAGGGATAATCTGTTGGAAAATGAATGGTGAGGAAAAACACTCCACTCTGATATGGGCTGTCACTCTGTTGAAATAAAAACACAAATTACAGCAGCTTTAAAACCCCATAAAGAAAACATGAATCACAGTCAGGATAGTGTGGTACTTACTGGACCCATTATTGTTGCCTGCCAATGAAACACTGAAAGTTTAAAAAATAAATAAATAAAATGAGAAAAAAACAATAAATCACATGACCCCTAATTTCAGGTGTGAATTTCAGCCATAAAAACATTGCAAATTAATCTAATGGTGAAAATATAGTACAGGTTTAAGAAAAAAAAAGTGTTTTGGGACACATCAACTTACAATCCTCTCCAACGGGTCCAGCAGAGCACTGGGCAGGAGGGTCTCTCTGCAGGTCAGACAGTTCCTGGAAGGTCATACAGGAGAACGATAAGACAAATTTAGCTCCTCAGATTGGTTTTAAAATTAAAATAGAAGTCAGAGCATTTTTTTTCATCATGAGGTCAAAAGCTACTAGCTTTCTCAACTCTAAAGTTTTGCGTTTAACCTGTAATGACCAATTCATTAATCTGTTTTAGTCCAGTATTAATTTTATGCTAGTGGTCAGGGACATATCTTTACTGGAGAACTGTGATATTTAAGGGTGTTGCAATCTTGAGGATCAGACGGAGGTCTCATCTGACTAAATGACTCTGAAATGCGTGATCTCCTCATTATATTCTATTGGTGTCACAGCGTAGTATGGAGCGTGATTTGCAGCAGGAAAGTGCAAACATGTCTGCTGTGTGAAAATGTGTGTGAAGCCAGAAACTTGTGATGTTTGCAATTCCACCATTTTGTGAGGAGTTTGTTAGAACAACCAATACTATTAAATTAATCAACTTTTTAAACATTTGGAAAAAACACAACAAATTCAAAAGATACAAATATGAACTGTTTAATACTGAAAAGTATTTCATACACATACTAAAAAAACAAGTTTACACAAAACAGCAAAGCAACAAGTATTATAGATAGGACAACCAGCACAACCCATGGCTGAGAATAGTGTACAATTCACACACCACATATGTGACAAGTATGCCCGAGCTTACAAAAACATTTGCTGGTGAAGATGGATTCACTACAGACATTTGGTGTCCTGATGTTTCCCCAAAACTTTGCAGAACATTGATGTGACTCATCATGTAATTAAAAGCATGGGTTGCTCCATGCCTTGAAGTTACATTGATCTCACACAATAAAACACATCAAGTGACGCTCAAATACGGGGAATTTAACAAGCATGCATTTAAATCATTGTGGACAACAGAAGAAAAATATTTTAAAAAAGAGGATGATGTCCTGATGGGGCTGCACGGCACACACTCTGAAAACTGTTTGTGTGGGACTCCTCTACAGTCACAAAAGCAGAGGTTAGTAGTAGTAACATTAATTTTATTACTTTATAGTACCTTGAGGGTACTATGAAGGGTACATATAGAGGGTACCTTGTAATTATGTGCTTTAGAGAATAGAAAGTTATGAATGTTGAGGGGTTTTGTTCCACTGGTGGACAAAAACTGTGCGGTGTCTGTTGGGGTGGCTGTGGTGGAGTGGTTAGGGGAGTTGTCCCATAACCGGTAGATTGCCAGTTCAATCCCCCGTTCCAGCTGTCTCAGTCGTTGTGTCCTCCTTGGGCAAGACACTTCACACGCCTTGCCTACTGATGGTGGTCAGAGGATCCGGTGGCGCCGGTGCATGGCAGCCCCACCTCAGTTAGTGTGCCCCAGGGCAGCTGTGGCTACGATGTACCGTAGTTTGCCACCATCAGTGTGTGAATGGGTGACTGTAAGTGTAAAGTGCTTTGGGGTCCGCTCTATAAGTTCAGTCCATTTACAATTTTAAAAGTTTCCAGACATTTCCAGATGCAGCAAGGTTTTTTTTTTTTTTTTTTGAAAAACCACAGTGTCAGATGAATTCCTCAAGTTCTTACCTTTATCAAGACACCCTTTCACAACTAAAAAATGTCAAAAGAATTTTAAGAAATTTCAGGAGTAACTGTTAAGGGCATCAGCAGCTGACACTAACTGGACCAGGGACAAAACAATTACTTCTAGTCATACATTAAAAAAAGAAAAAACAAAATCAAATACATGTGCTGTAGGCTTTGTATTTATACACCTAATTTGCTGATAATGTAAAAAAAGTAATTAACCAAAATTAGATACAATTTTAAATGAAAACTTTGAATCATGTTTGCACAAAAAGTGGAAAACAACCAATGACAATAAAACAGTTTTAAGGTATTTTTGGTTCGGAATAAGTTGCAGCATCTTAGGTTAACGTTACACGAACTTCCAGAAGGGTTCAGCCTCAAGTGTGAGCCATGGTATTATTTTGATAAGTCTTTCCAATAGTATATTTGTATACAAGTCTTTTTAGTGTTATAATCATAACACGTGATTGCAGTCAACTCATACAAGATTAATGCAAAATGAGACTTTTGGAAAGAGTTCATTTTAGGTCCCTGATTACAAAATTTAACCAAAGAGATAAAAAAAGTCACAAAAACAAGAAAAGAAAAATGGAACTTCAAGTTGTTAAATTAACATCAAATCCAAACACCCAATTCACACTAACATCACACTCACAAAACAATGAGCACAAACAGCAAAACGCTAGCCGCTAATAGCAATCAAGCCTGTTATTTAACATCTCCTGTAAGGAAGCCCATTATATAAATACACACCATGACCTGTGCCAGTGCCCCGTTTGCCATGCCATATAAGGCCACACTGACTCTACGGTTCAATTTTGGCCACCATGAAGCAGCTGTCATTCAGCAGCCACAGTGTCAGGGACAAAACAAAATAAAAACAAGTGAAATTACACACATAACTCTGTGTAATGATGGCCGGCTGGTCATCCCAGTCAACCCAAGGGCCGCTAGCATTACAAGCTAGCCTAACGTTGCCAAAAATAATTACTTTTACCTCAGTAAAAAAACACAGGACGCGTAGCACACTTAAAAGAAACATCGAAAATTTCAGGCAAAGAAAAAGTGATGTTTCAAATAAAGCATTAGCTAAATGATTAGTTTATTGTAGAAAAGTACAAACGGCCACCGATGGTCAGCTCGCCTCTTTGTCTTTGAATTACTTAAAAGAAAAAAGAAGCACAAAAAGCACAGAGGAAAGGCTAAATCCACTTTAGGAAATTGCTACACGTAGCATTATCTTTAAACATCATGCCACAACGACACACAAGTATCGACTACTAAGTACGTGACACTTGATTAAATTATACACTCACCTTCTGAATTCTTTTCAACGCCATTGCTTCAGTGGCTATGCTAGCTAGCCTGTCAGCTAACAGTTAGCACCTTAGACATACAATTTAGATTCTGTGGCCGCGTACTTTCCAAATGTCACTTGACGTATAGTTTTGGAATCACGTCTGACATCAAATAGGTTTGGACGTATGGGCTCCCGGACAACAAATCCAGTCGTGAGTTAATAGCTGCTCTTTCTTTAGTCTGCTACAAAACAACCGATATATTTTGCATCTGTCTCTCTTTTCTCTCATCGCCTCCTCTCGTGCCAGATATCGCGAGATTTGGTTCACAAGTTACCATGCGACATTTGTCTCTCTGAAGTTCCAAATGGTTTGTTTCTCAGTTTTTAATTGTTAATCTTATTATAAAAGGGGAAAAATACACTTGCAAAGTGCCAGATTTGATCATACAGCTAATTTTAACTTGTAACCCCTGGCCGGCTTATGGTAAAACTCATAAACCCTTCCCCCCCTCTATTATTACCTTTATTCAGCAAATCCCATTGAGATCACATCTCTCTTTCAAGGGAGACCTGGTCCAGAAGATGCGTGTTTTTTATGTTTTAGTTTTTTCTATTCCCTGTGGTATAGGATACTGGAGTACCCGGGGAAACTCTTCACCGATAGACCCCAGGTCCAACCTGTGGCCTAGACCCTTGACCTTCTTGCTGTGAGGCAGTGGTGGGATGTAACTAAGTACAAGTACTTTGTTGCTGTACTTAAGTACATTTTTCATGTGTCTGTACTTTACTTAAGTAGATTTCATCATGGGTACTTTTGACTTTTACTCCACTACATTTTACATTAAGTATCTGTACTTTCTACTCCACTACATTTCTGTGATGTGTTGAATTACAAATTACATTCATGTCAC